CAGCTTTGCACATTTTAACAATTCACTCTGCTGGCTGTACAACACAGCAATATAAATATTGCTATCTCTGTTAAAATGAATTATTGACAATTTTAATACATGTTGCACAGTACATATTAATATAGAAAAATACATGTTATCAGCAGTGCAATGTTGACCATGTACTAATCCATTCCACCTGCTCAAATATTAGTGCAAATAATTATATATTTGTAATGCATCATTGCTGTCTAGTTTGAATTTCTGCCTCCAGAATAAATGTCTCTTCTCTGAAGTTGTTTGCTGTTATGAGTAAAATGTTATATATTCATACTCAAATTGACTTTGGGTGGATAAGTAAAATGAGCAACCTTCAAAAATCCACTTGTCTAAGACTTAGCAACTCATTTTAATGAATTGTTTACAGTAAAATGGATGTTATAAAAATGTTTCAAACACAAGCTCGTGTTAGCTGGCTTCTCTACAACACTCAAATACCACACGTCAAAACAGTGTAGAGTTCAAAATGACCATCTTCAACTGGCAGCATCAACTAAGGTGAATCTTCTGATCTGATCTAGGTGGTCCTGCTCCAGCAGGGGGATTGGACTAGATGATCCTTTGAGGTCCCTTCCAATCCCTGACATTCGGTGATTCTGTGAATCTTAACCATGTCTTTCAGTAGGAGCTATTTACCCTGATGCCATGCAAGTTTATCTACCTGTGAATCGATTCTGGGGACATCCTCTCTCCACAGTCTCACCTTTCTTTTCAAGCAAAGAGGTGGCCTTGATGAAGTCGGACACTTGGTAGAACAACAGGTCCTGTCCCCAACAGACTGATGATGAAAACGGGGAAAAGCAGATGTACAACCAAGACACTCCAAGGGCTCGTTTGTGCCAGGATATACCCTTGGCTAGAAGTGAAGCTGGGACAGGGCTGAGAAAGACAAGGGGCAGCCCTGAGAACACACAAGGTGGGTTAAGGTGAATGAATTGCACGGGAAGACAGTCATTCGACAAAAAGGTTGGGAGTAGAAACAGCCCCAAAAAACTTAGAGCCCCATTGTGCACGCAAAGGGGAGGAATGAAAAGGACCCACATCTCTTAGTCCATTCTCTCCTCTATCCTTGCTAAATCCATGTTTAAGAACAACAAAACACAGCGTGAGGAGGCTTTCAGCAACAGCCACTGCTGCCGTGATTCCTGTCTCTCAGAACAGCACTTGTTTCTTCATGCTCCGGCTCCAGCAGCCTTATGGTCAATTTTGGGTTTTAGTGAAAGAAGGAAGAGAAACTTTAACACTTCAAGAGGAACAAAATGAAAGTATCAACTTTCAAATAATATTTCTAAGTAAGTATTTCTAATAAGTCTACTAAAAGATCAACAGAAGGTGGTCTCCTAGAAGCCATGCTGCAAAGTTAAAGGCTTCTCTCTCTCTGATAGTGTGGCAACAGAGGGGAAGGGATAGTGCAATCCTGAGATCTGGAAAAGAAAACAGGTCATAGGGATGTAAAGCTAATAAAATAAAAAGCAGAAACCAAGGCTTCCACATACACTAAGGGCTGTATTGACACAGAGTAAGCAGTGCCCCATGCAAGAGAAAAGACGACAGGCAAACACAGCTGCTTCCCTACTCTAAGATAAGCAGAAGAGATAGCATAGAAATCTCCTACCACCAAAAGAAATTAGGATGGAGGGAAAAAAAGACAAGTAAAGCAAGTGAACATGACTGGGCAGGAGATCTGGGTCCCTCTCCTTCTTAAAACAGGTGTAGAAACATTGGGAAAGACAAAAAACAAACAACGTGCCAGCCTTGATGTCTAGAGAGAGAAAATACTCCAGTGTAGATAACAAAACACAAATCATCTCCACTTGCAACTAGCACAGAGGTGGTAGTGGTGGTGGTGGAAATAATACCTAGAAGTCAGTTTCCAGAACATGAGGACAGGAAAGGTGCTCCTACCTTTCAGTTGACCTCTAGAAGAGTAGCTTTTGGGGCAGACGGCTGGCTTATCCTCCCTACTGCTCCTGGGACAAGAAGTGCAAACGAGAAGAGCTGCTACCTGCATCTAAAATCAGACAAGGAATTATTTAGGTATTAACTTCCTTCATATAGGAAAAATCACCACCTCAGCCTGGTTTCCCTATCCATAATCGGTTCAACTCAAGTGCTAATCCAAATTAAAGAGTTATCACCATGAAAATTTACTCCAAAGAGCACCCTCTGTTTTAGAATTTGTCATGACATCTAAAACTAAGCACATGAGGTTTACTGTCATGCACATATTGGACTGAGAAACCTGGAACTACAGGCTTCTGAAGAACAGGCCAACATGTACCCAACCCATGAAGGAACACAGCGAGCCTCTCCCTTTTCAGGGCACTTTGGAAGATACAGCATTTTTGCTGTATATTTCTCATATTTCCTACAGAAACGGAGCAATCAATTCAGACAAGATTCAATCACAACCACCCACCAGCGGTAGATGGCAGAGACATCAGAGAGTCATCTGTGTCAGTCAAACATCGAAGCAACTAGTGATTTGAAATGATTTTGTGAAAGCTAAGAGGAAAAAAAAAAAAAGAAAACAAAACCCAACCTAAGTTCTCTTATTGATTGTGAGATAAACTGACCTGCCACCTGTCAATATCGTGCCATTCTCAAGTCAAGCAGTCACTTACCCGTAGCCAGATCACTGCAGTCTTCAAAGCAAAAAACCAAAAAAAATAAGCTCAGCTCTGACAAATCCTTCTTCCTTCCACTCAGACTGCATATTGCTGACGCATTTCTGCTCCTCACGGTGGAAGCAGGCAGAGCTCACATCCCAGCACCGCTGCCCGTCCTTCGGCGCACACTCGTGCATGGAGAGCCTCTTCCTGTTCGATCCAACGTTTTCAAGATGAACGAACAGCTCCACGGCAAAGTATTTTAGCCAGGCTCTCTCCTCTAGAGGCTCACTTCATTTCAGGGTGGGACGTAGCTGTGGAGATTTTAATTCCAATCCTGCTTATTTTCCCAGGTTGAGGTGTACATCAGGTTTCTATTAAGCACATTTTAACCTCCTCCTCCTTCCATGTGCTATGCTCATTTAAAACAGCTTGTTCTCCAAATCCTTTTAGTTCATGTCTTCTTCACTCCTTAACCTCTATTTCTAAACATCTAGAGCTTATTCTTCCAAGCACTTCCATTTCCCAATTTTTTTATATTTTTATTTGTGTTGAGAAGTATTCTTACTGAACACCAACACCCTCCTGCCCTCCGTGCACACGCCAACAGAATACAAAAACCAAATGATGTTAATAAATTATAGGACTTGTAAAAACACAGCTGATTTTCCAGCCTACAACAGTTTACTGCAAAGCCATTTTCACCAATTGTAGCCAAAATAATTACACCCCCTCCCCTCCTCTCAGGCATTCATTTGGCTGCCAGCCGGTTAAATGCCTACGTTCTCGGAGTGAACATTAGAAGGGCAATACTTGAACTCATTACATCATGAACATTAAAGGGTATATTTGTATTTTGGAGAGGACTTTATCGTATTCAGAAGCCACTGGAAATATTTTCCCGAATTACATGCTGTAAGAGTTCTAAACTTAAAAATGTGGGGGAATTATAGTTCCCCACCCCATCCCAATCCAACTTATATTTAAAGTAAACTTACTGACAACGTAGTCTTCTCTAGGAATAGAAACTCTTTCAGTGTGTGCATGGGGAGGTTTTTTAAAGGAAGGGGGAAAGGGAAAGCTCATACCAGTGATAAATTTGGTCAGTAAAATTACTTTTATTCTTTTTCTTTTTTTTTTTTTTAAATAGAAGGGCATATACAATCGAATATAAAGATTTTTGCAGAAAATGGAAATGAAATGGAAAAGGTGTCTGGAGGGAATTATTTTTATTGAGGAAGAGTTTACATATCAAAGTTTAAGTATTCACCTACTTTTTGCTGCCTCCTGTTAACAGGCATAATGAAAATATTGCACTGAGCATATGCATGGAAAACACAGCTAATAAAGCAAGAAGTATGGTAAATACATTTCATACAACCTTGAAATAATTCAAACAATCATACAACAAATTCTGAAGCACTTCTGTGATCTGCAATCTTAGGATGATGTTCACTGTTCTGAAGCATTTACAAATTTGACACTTTTTTGTAGAAAGATTTTGTATTGGTTAACAAAACCACAGCCTTAAAATTGTTGGCTTTCAGTTACAGAGGTAAACAGAGAGGTATCATTTGAATTCACATCAGAGCTTTTGAAAAAAACAAAAATGGCAGCGGTACAAGCGTGCGCCTCCTCCAGTGTCTTTGTGGCTTTGCCATGGCCAAGGAATAGAGCTATGGAGCTAAACAAAGCAGCGTTTCCCCAAATACTTTGAGACAGCCTGGCATCCTTTCTCTTGTTTACTGATTCAATGCTCTGCTAAATATAAAATGAAGCAGAAGAACCTCAACTAAGAGAAGTTCCACACAAGTCTGTCAATATTGACTACACCGGGGAAGTCATTAACAGAAGAGGAAAATAATTTTATTTGACCTACCCATAAAGTAAATTTATAGAAATGCTGCTCTGAAGATAGGAGAGAAGGTTGTTTCCGTAACATACGCTGAGCCCACAGCAGAAATGAAGTGTTACAGATGATTTGTTCAGGGATGATGGAAGCCAGATTGAAGACACAAACCACAGCAGTTCCAACCTATTTTCCACAAGAGCTCACTCTGAACAAAGGTCTATTTACAACAATTTCCAGTTGCTTGTGGAAAAGCTACTCCAGACGTTTCAAACATCGCTCTTCCTTCAATTCACTATATGTACACTATGGGTCCATCTCGGAAACACTTGGGATAAACGCTGGAGCATAACAGACACGTAAGTAGTCTGCCTCCAATACCAAATTATGATCAGCGGAAGAGAAGCTTTTGCACACTTCAATATTTTATATTGCTCAGGCACTGAGGATCTTCAGCACAGGAATTTTCAACTCTAGGTTTTTGCTAGAGCTGCTGTCCATTCCTCTCACATATGAACAACTGGGCTACATTTTATCCTTTCTCTTTGTAATAATCTGAATTTATTTATACACAAAACAAGAGACAGGAGAAAGTTCTCTTATATCAACCCAACAATGGGTACCTTCAACTTGTAATAAGAACGCCTTAGGCAAGGCAACTGCATTTACTTTAGGAGCATATATAAAATTCAGTGTGCCAGTGTCAAACAGAGACAAGACTGTCAGATCATACAATGCCAAAACATTCCGGTGGGCCCTCAACTATTAGGTGCAAAAAAACCCAAACAACAAAACCAAACAACCAAACAAACCCTCAAAACTTTTCACCACTTCGGTTCTGTTTAGAATGCTACACAATGAATAAATTACATCTTTCTGGGATAGTGTTGCTTTTACTCCTACATCTCAAAGAAATTCCAAGCTAATTAATTAGAGCAAGAAATTACATTGAGCAGGATAACATTTTGAATGAAAGAAATGGTTTAGAAACACCAATCAAAGATAATTTGATTATGATTAGCTGTGCTGTAGTCTAAGTCATTAAAATTGATGAAGAATGTTTTTACACTGGTCTAGTCTATGTAATCCATTACCTACGCTATGCTCTGTAGTTCAAGTCTAACAAATGGTATCTGATAATTCAATATTGAAGACTAAAATACTTTCAATGCACCACTTGCTTTCCTACACCGACATGTTTCCAATAACCAAAAAAAAAAAAAAAAATCAGTAGCAAGTAGATTTGCAAAATTCTTTACCAGGAGAAATTTTGCTTACATGAAATATCATTCAGATTTTTACCTGTTCACCTTCTACATAGTCATGTTTAAATATGGCTGCTGCTTTATTCTGAACAGTCATTATCCCACAAAGTTACAACCACAGTTTGGTAAGAAATCATTCCCTGTGCTTTCTAACAGCTGAAGCCTGCCCAAAGGTGTAACATTTGTCTCCGCGCTCTCAGCTGAAGTGACGAGCAAGACGAGCAGACCTATAATCAACACGCAGCTGAACAAAGGAGTGAAGGATGTTCTTGTCCAGATTAGCAAGTTGTTCTCCTGAGCAAACTTGCTTTAAATTATCCGGGGCTACAACCAGAAGATTGCAAAGTGCATGCAAGGTATCAAAGAGTTGTAACACCAGCGCAATCTGTGGCAAGAGAAGAAACAGAGAAAGGCAGATACTAAGAGTCAGAGTTGCTTGGACTCTTATGACACAATGTCCACCTAGATTCTCAAAATAATTCCTCCCTACAGATTATTCACATCCATCATTCTCTCGTCATACATGTATATGTGCATGTGTCTGTGTTTATGCATCTGTAGGGAGATATGTTCATATGCAAAGTTACACATACAACACACAATAACGTAAACTCAACACTTCTTCAATGAACACACACAGCCTGCAAGCAATAAAATGGTATCAGGAAACTGCTCTTTAGGATCTTATAAAGAACTGCTCGTACAGTAACAGAATATATAACATCAGTATATGAAATGCTGACGTTCATAAAAATAGTTTGTTTCTGTTTGAAGAAAAAACATCTGATTAAAAATAAAGTCCTGCTACTAACATTGACACGGCTGTACATCACCGACCTGTTCATGCTTACCTTGAAGTCTTTGGCACACTTCCTATATTCAGCCACATCACAAATAGCTAACATGCCTCCCATGCAACTGTAGGAATATTGCTGTAGGTGTTCAAAGATAAGTCGATGAAAACGAACTCCAAGCTCCATCAAAACTGTGTCCACATTCTTACCATCCATAGAATTTCTAATCTTTTCCACCTGCTTTCTAACATAGCCACAGACTTTAACACAAGCCTAAAGAAAACAAAAAAGAAAAAAAATTTGTTCTTCCCAAAACTTCCTACATCACCTCATTAAAATTACTGATTTTCCAATTAATAACCTTCCAACATTTTTTATTTGCCACACAAAGATGCAAAAATGTGAGCAGAAAGATGGATGCAAGATAATATTCAATTAAGTCACTGTTCATATCAGTTCAAAATAGAACAGATTAATTTGGGCTTTTAACTCAAACAATGGTCAACCAAGAGGGTGAGGACAGGGAAGTGATTAAAAATCTCATCAGCTGCAATTATAAACCCAAATCAACATCCATGCAGGCATCTTCACCCTTCCCACATAATACCAGACTCCGTGTCCTACTGCTCCTCTTCTCCCACTCCCACCCGGCTGCAGGTATTCAGGCAATGTTCTCACTTCTTCCCATTGACTGTAGTTTGTTCTTTACTCCTCTCTGCATCATTCCCTAACAAGAGCCGAGTGTAACTCGGCACTGCTGTTTCTCAGCAGCCTGTAGGCTGGGATTCAGACAGATTCAGCGGCAGAGACAACATTCTGCAGCAAAGAGTGTTCTTGCCATACCCGTGACACTTTGTCATGCTCCTGCCCACTCTTAAGAGGAAAAAGTGCCCAGCAACTACAGAGTACCTGATAATTGATTTTCTGAAACTGATAGCTTAAATCTAATTATCGGCTGAAAACCTTGCTCCAAATCTGAGCCTCTTGGGATGGGAAAGAATGCAACAGTTTGTCCAGCGCCTACTGATTTGTATCTCACACTAGACACAAAATTGCTAATGTCCTTTTCAGCTTGAGAAAACAGTCCAGAGCAGAGTTTGGAGGTGCTTGGTACAAAAGGAATAGCTAAGTAAATTAATCAAACACACGTGTTGTCTAATGTCTACAAGGAACATCTTGTACCTGATAACACTCATGAGCATTTGAGGCTATGCTGATGCGCTGGAACTTAGTTTACTTACGTTAGTATATTGAATCAACACGTTGTTTTCATCTTCTGGTTTAAAATCTGTCTTCTTCTGCTCTGCAGCCAAGATGTGCTTCATCTGTCCAATCATACAATTCAGTGTCCTTTAAAGTTACAAATACAGATTGGGTTTTGAAGGGAACATTTTAATTTCCTTGGTTTTTATATTTACATATACTAATGATTCTATACCAAAGTAAGCAGCATAAAGCAATGAGGAAAAAACTGCTCACTAGCTAACCCTTGAGTAATCTACAGAAGATACACTAAAAGCAAACATTTATTGTAAGAAGCACGTGGTGCCAGGACATGACAAAGGAAATACTTCATTTAACAGACATGCACACACACTCTTCTGAAGTTGTAATGCAATTCTCTAGAGGAGATAAGCTTGATTTTTATGTAAGCAGTTAGAAAAAGGAGAATCAGCCAAAAAAAACCCCAGTAACAACCCTGAAAAACCACTCTTTCTTCAAAGTTCAGTGTCGTGGAGCACAGCACACAGCATGCTGGCTAGCTGGTTTTAAAGGGGACACATTAATTGCAAGGTAAGCCATCCAAATCCAGCTCTTCAGAGAAACCGGATAGCGTTCTTCAATGCAGAGGGAATCAGAAAGCTGAAGGAAGCATTCCAAAGAGTTTAGCAGAACTAGATCACGTTGCGTGTTACTCAGAAGCAAGCGTCAGAAAACACTTGGAAAGTGGAGGGGTGGGGGAGGAAAAACCTCTTCCTTTGCAAGAGCTTGGTATTTCTTTTGTTCTCAGAAAGCTCAGAGTTTAACAGTGTCATTTATTCCTCCCTCCCAGGATTTATCTCTTCCGAACATTATCTAAGGTCAAGGCCCTGGTTTACTTTAAGTCCGAACCAAAGGTCAAACAGCAAAGCAGCTGAGAGAGGCTGCAGGCCTCTTTAAAAAACTCCCTTTGCCAGGAACCTTCCTCTGCCTCTCTCTTTTTTTTTCCCCTCCCCTTTCTTCACCCCCCTCAACCTTCCAACCTCCCCGAAGAAAACACAGTCAAGGCCATTACAGGCCTTGAAGGATTCAGGTTGGGGTGAAGGGTTGAAGAACGCATGTATCCAAAGAGGGAATAACCTTCTTTCCTATGCATAGAGCTTAGACTTGCATTTCAGGTGAGGCCATTATAGGCCTTGAAGGATTCAGGCTGGGGTGAAGGGTTGAAGAACGCATGCATCCAAAGAGGGAATAACCTTCTTTTCTATGCATAGAGCTTAGACTTGCATTTCAGGTGCACTTTGTTCAAGAATCCACATAGTAATAGAAATTTAAAGCAATTACATCTTGCATTCTCCTCAATTTCCATTTTCAATAAATACTCCCAAGAAGGCTGGTTACACAGAACACACACTGAAAGAAAACCAGTAGAACTAATTTTGTTTGGCTAATAAATCGCTTTTACCGAGGAATGCCAGTCAAGAAGCTGCTATTCGACTTTTTCAGATTGGATAATGCTGAAACCATCAACGTTTATAAATTTGCTTTTAGTTTTTAAACTAGATCATTCCTTTAAGCAAGACAATCAATTCTCAACAGCATCAGGCACACAAACTCGTTTGACATGTAACATTCATTTCAATACTAATCTCTCTCTCATACGTGCCAAAGCACAGATGTTTTTGCAGGCTCCATTCACAAACCTTTGAACGTACCATTTTCCAAGAGGGACTTGTTCTCCTAACTCCTACTGTCACTTTTAAGAGATTAATTATTTTACACAGTTATAAACTACTGTAATGCTGATGACCAACCTATGTCTGTCTAGATCTAAGTTTATGGTTAGATCAATGTTTCAAGTGTTCAGTGGTTCAAGTGTTCAAACTTGGTGATTAAACCTCTAAGGTCACTTCCAGCAGGAGCAGCTAGAATCTCAGTTGCCACTTACACATCCTCTATCTCCACCTTTCTTTTTGCACCTGCACAAAACACAGGTGCAAATAATAAATCTTTTCCTCATCTCTCTGCAGAAACTACCTAGCAGGACACAAATGAAATGCCTGTTTTTCCAACAGTGATGTTCTCATTCCTCTCCAGTAAGGTGTGATCCTTACAAAAACCTGAATAATTATTTCCAGAGTAGCCCTCGTTACCCACAGGATGGCTTAATTCCATTGCTGCAGAGAGAAAACCATTAATTCCATCACTGCAGACAGACACAAAAAGCTTAGGTAACATGTTTGAGGTTGACTAATGCCACCTCAAAACATGGGAACACTACATGCCTCCTGGACCAAAGTAGGGCATTACACAACAGCTCCATTTTCTAATATTAAGCTTGTTAGTTTGTTATTTTCCTCTGCTGCAAAACAGCTATGACGTGAATTTACAATTTTTATAGCTATCCCCTCATTTTTATTTGAAGAAATGGAAAAAAAAGAAAAAAAAGATTAAATGAGTGAGTCACAACCTCAAAGCAAGTCAATGTCAGAATCAAAATTATTCCAGGTCTACAGACTTCTATGCCTAGGTCTAATCCATAGCACTGCACAGATTCAAGCAAATCATCTAACCTATTTTTGTCAAACTTTGCTCCTAATGGAAATCCTGCAAGTCTTTAACCTATTTCAATCATCATTCCTTCCTCCTTTAAAGTAGAAAAAAGTAGTTTGAGACAATAAGGTAAAACTGAATTATTGCACTCTCTCAACATAACCAAAATCCTTTTAACGTCCTTACAGAAGTATTCACGGGTCAGAAATCTGCCATGGAAAATACGACCCTCTAAACAAAATCTGAATTTCCTATGCACAATAATGTATACTTACGGATGAAAAAAAAAAAAATCTATTTCGTGTTCAGAAATAATTTATCCTTAAAAGGAAAGCTAACATACATCACAAAGTATTTTCACAAGAATTAATGATTAACAGAAAGTTTAAATCTTTACTTGCCTATCAATGCCCATATCCAGCTTCACTTCCATTTGTTCTATGATATCCTTTTTCTTCTGAAGGCATTCAGACAATTTAGGAGAAGAACTGCAACAGTATAAAGGGTTAGGCGTGTGACAGAGCGTTAAAATATCAAAACTAGTCTGTCTGCTGGGTCTGCAACTTCGAACACAATTTTGTGAAGATTTCTCACCCCATCAGAAAAGACTAGTTTAGTTTAGATGGAGTTAGCTGGCTTCGGAGCAACAAATCATCAGCCTGAACAGCCACCTGACCCTGAGCAGGATCTGCAGAGTGCTGATGGGCAGTACTGTGGCAGCGTTGTGCCTCCTGAGCGGTGCTGCCTGCCAGGCAACCGAGCAAACGTAGCTTTCCGTGCACAGTAATTCACAGCACATCAGCGCGCTCTACCTCGAGTGTATCCATACCGTGGCTCCCAATAACATGCAGCTTTCACATAGTTCACATGTGGCTCGCAAGGCATGGCCAGCTGTTGCCTCTGCAGAGCCTCTGAAGTACCCCCAAGAATCTCAGCAGCCCTGATATTGCCATCTCACCCAAAGGTGCAGCCACAAACCCCCTCTAGTCCTGGCCTGTAATGCAGCAGTGAGGACCCTAAGGAGCAACTTGTCTCTCAGTCCTATCAATACTCCTGGAGCTCTGTCTCTCCATGGTACCAATTTGTTTAACATCCCCTTTTCCTTGTCTCATTACAGCATTTTATCTTCCCACAACATCAAGCTGAGCCACTCCAGGAATAAACTCCACTTAACAGAGAGGAAGAATGAAAAAGATTGCCTTCTTCACTGAAAACGACCATTCACAAAGGAAACACTAATCAAACTAAGGTACCTGATCAATGGCATCAGATGATCATTGAACTGCTTGTCAAATAAATGGAAAATAGTATTGGCCTGGTGGACAACATCCAAGAAATAAAGATTTGCGTTCTTCGAGTCAGAAGAGGGAATGCCTAAAGCAAAGAAGGTTTCATTAGGATTGTAATGATACGCAGTTCTTATAATTAGCATGATGATTTTTTTTAAATATGCAGAGTTTTTCCATGAATGCTTAAATCACAGGCTTAAGAGTTTCAAAAATTTGCCACGGTGCCGTATATAGAATACTTCTTATAGCTATATCAGGTAATAACCATAAGAACAGAAATATCTTGCTTTTTAAATTTCTAAAAGTAAAATGGAACAGTCAATTTAAATATTTCTTCAGAACATGAGTTTTATGCTTTCATGTAGGAATGACAGGTTCTCACTGTCAAGATTTTAACTTCAGTACAAGTAGTTTTCTTATTTACTGCCACTCTTTAAAATGCACAAACAACATATACAAATAAGCATGGAATTCCTGTAAAACATTAAGATACTAAGCCTTAATATAAAAACATTCTCTTGCCATAGCACAGAGAACAATTAAAGGAGGTAGGGAGTGCTGATGTCCCAATTTCTGACACACAAATGTTTCTGCAGGCAGCGGCATGTTTCCATCTGTGCACCAATTCCCCAAAATGGAAGTTACACTTCAGAATACATTAAATGCTGACCCCTAAATACACAAAACAAATTTCATTTAACCAGTACATTCTGAACAAGGCCAATCAATAAGGCACAGCAAGGACCTGCAAAGATCATCTGCACGAAAAGGCCAATGAGATGAAATGCTCAGAAAATACTACTCACCAGCAAGGCCTGTTTCTAATGCGTAATCGATGTGTTCAGTACATAAGAACTCTACAAGCATAGAAAAAATTCTGAAAGCATTCTTCGGTAAGTCAGATGGATCAGAGAGCTTTAAAGAAAAAGAAATAAAAAATTATCCTAAAGGTCAGTTCTACATACATTTGAAAGTTCATCCAATATCGCACAGAGGATAAGCTTAAAATGCAACAAGTATTGCAGAATAATTGGAATTTTATTCTAAATTAAAAGTATCCATAGAGAGAACTATTCAGGAACAGCCTTTAGTATCAATAAACCTTTCAGCATTAACAAGCAAACCAAAGCTAGCACGCCACAGGATGCCACAAAAAGCAAAAGTATGAACAGTTTCTAATAGTAGTAATAAAGGAAGATATTAACAACAGTCCTTAAAACACAACTGTCCAGATGTAATCTTAGGAATTACCTAAACTGCATGCTGCTGGATGCTGGGAAAACGTGCACAGAAAAGATTACTTTATCCGTGCCCTGCCTTCCTTCTCTTTTACTAAGCTTCTGCCACTGGCCACAGTCAGAGACAGGACACTGGGTTAGATGGCCCTTCGGTTCCACCCAGTGCAGCTGTTGTTTCACCACTGCCACCGTACCGCAGGAAAAATGACACAGACAACCTCAGCTCCACTTACCACGGCTCAGCTGGAGGCAACGGAGCATGGAAATTTTTATTAAGTAAAGTAATGCCCACATACACACACAGCATCTGTACTTCCATGAGCTGTAAGCAACACGGGATTTTGGACAGCAACCTGTCAGTAAATCCCTTTTCGAAAGAAAGAAGCGACAGGACTTTTGTACATGGAAAAATACAGCTTTGGTTTTTAAGGAATTATGTGAAGACTTTATAAAGCTAGGAGTAGGAAAGATTACTATTGCAAAAGTAACAACACTCCCAAAGATTTCTGCTACATTCCCCAAAAAAACCAAACCAAAACCCCTCAACCAAGTACCATTACAGAGACTTCCAAACACCGAAACGTTGCGATAGACGGTTCCGTTCAGAGATACCGATTCATTTTCCCTAAAGCAGTCACAGTTGGGACACACAGTGTATCTGCAGGCATCTGTCACGTGATACACACATCACACTTAGTTAGCCAGGGACTTGTTTCACTTCTCTTTTGCACAGTGAGTTGCCCTGACCACAAACAAAACCCTACCAGATCCATTTAGCATCCGTTTCTATCCCAATACATACAATTGTTCTTAGACCAAGTACGAAAAAACCTGATTCCAGCAGGAAAGAAGAAGAAAAAAAAAAAAGTTGTGCACAATTGGAAAAAGTTAGTTTATATCATGAATTTAACAACTGTTTCTAGCAACCACCATATTGAGAAAAATAACAATCTACCTGCTTGCCTTGCAGCCAGTGACGTTCCCCACTAGGCAGGCGTTCATCCCAGCGTGTACAGATCACAGTGCTGCATCTCTGCTTTGTTAGACCTTTGCTCCCTCGAAGTTTATAAAATATTAAAACTTCTAAATCTCTGAAATGTTAAGTTTTGCTGCACTAAGCTAACTTAGAATGTTAGAGGTATTCAAATTTGTTAGAAACCACTGTGTTCAGCTAATAAAAAAAGTCCCCAGCGTTTAAGTTGGCAATTAAATTTCAAGGGTTTTTATTTACACTGAAGTACCAGACAAACAGTAATTGACAGGCAGTAAAACGGGCGATTAAATCAGAAGGTAAACACTTTTTTTTTTGTTAGACTAAAGCATTTAAAGAATAGTAGAGGGTTACCAAGGTAAGCAATGCTAAAGATTATTCCTCTCAGCATTTTATTGGTGATATTCCCTAGAAGAAAAGGCACTTGACACAGGAAAACAACTGTTGAACTTTCTCTGTATTTTTAAAGCAGGAAAAAAAATGACACTAAAGGCTTCTCAAGTCTTGGGTCTAATTTAGTAATAAAAGTAACGTAGACAGTAGGCTAACCCTCCCCACTCCTTCCAAAAACAGACAGTATTAAAAACCACAAAATACAACCAGATCCACATTTAAAAAGCAAACCCATAGCCTCCACCACGACCCTTGATTCAGTGAAAAATACAAAAGCAAATTAATTTGTTTAATGATGTCCCTCCTCTCTTCCTATCACATGTGAATCAAAAACTGAACCTCAAGATTGAATTTCACACACAAAATTATAACAGTAATGGAGATCACAGGAAGCAAACTTACCCTGTGACATCTTTCAAAAGCTTGTTTAGTTTCTTGCAAGAGGTTAACCACCACTTCTTGTGACAGAAAAGTTTCTCCGTGTGTGTCAATACTTGGCCCCAAGGGTAAGTTTGTACGTTGCCTTATTCTCTCTTTGAGGTCTTGAATACTAGAACAAAGATATACCAAAAGAAGATTTCAAGGGATGGAAATTCTGATGCTTTAATTCAACTATGATTTAGGATATTGTAGTTGTTAACTTAAAACACAGAACCCGAGACACAGTTTAGGATACACAAGCATTAAGACAGTCTTGCAAGCTTAAAAAAAAAATTGTCGGTAAGTGCAAACTACCATCTCTGATCCCATAGTCAACTGTGTTCTACCATGGCACGTTCACACCATGGGACCAGCTATTCCCCATCGTGGAATAAGAGTAATTTCAATTGAATCCTATGGACAAAGTTTAGCCTCCATACATTCTGTCACATTGTACTTTCAAAACACTAATGAAAGCTTTCTGCCTCATCCACACCCACAAATCCTCTCATCCTCATCCACTATCTCAGCAGTCCTGATTTAGTCAAGCATGCTCCAACACATTTCCATGCATAAAACAACTCGTAAAGTCAGTCACTACAATAAATTTAATTTTCCCCAAGAAAATTAAATTTTCATCTTTTTTTTTAAAATGCATTTAATTACTTTGCTGCTGCTGTTCTCTCCAAAGCACTTTTCATTCCTGACACACTGAACCCAGTAGCTCTTTGAAAGGTACAGTAGTCTTATCAACTCTGCTTCACACAAGTTTTAATTCTTCCTTTCCCACTTCTCACTACTCCTTTATTAGAGTTTCTCTACCCTGAGGATAATGAAGTCTTGTTTTACCTTTCTCTAAGTCCATTGCATCTTCTGGGCTCATTAAGAGCTTTCTCACTGACATTGCTATGGACTTTTCCCCTTCCTAGGTCTTGGGAGGGGACCACAAGACCTGGGCAGGTGAAAAAAAATGTATGCTTTTAGATACACACATATACATGCTTTAGGTACCTTAATTTTGCTTCAGTCCTTTTGTGGATCTGGATCCTAAGTTGAAACATAGGTTTAACTGGTATTTTTCATTTCCCATGAGCGTGTAAATACCATGCATCACCTTTCATATGTACTGAGAGTGATACACTTTTTAGCAGAAGTTAACATGAAGCGACAGCAACTATAAAAAGCTGCAGGTCATTTTAGAAGCCCGCTCATTTGTAGTTCATCACTGTACATCTGACATGGCAAACGCTACGTTTCTCCCCTTACAGCCCCCCTTCCATTTTAAAAGTAGGAAACTTCACAGAAGAAACTTACCCTCCAGTGCCAATGGACCTCTTCTGGTGGTTTTTGGAATCATAATAGCGTTGTAGAATCATAGCACTCCTACTTTTCAAATAACCAATTTCCACCTCAATGTAATTCTCCAAGTAGGAAATGAAAATGGATTTGATAAGCTTAGACAAGAAAGTCTGCTTATCAGTACCCAGGTTAAATTCCATCAATTTGCTTGACAGATTAGTAGTTCTTTAGGCAAAAGAAACAAAGAAGGGGAGAGGAGGAAAAGGTTGAATTTGCACGAATTACAGCATTACACGTTTGTAAAGTACACAGCACAACGGAACCCTGGTTGAGATTAAGACTTCTAGCAGCTTTACGTTTAAGTAAAGCATTTTGCACCGTTCATGTTTAATTACGTACAGTACACTTGCAATCAAGCGAGTCGCCAGCGAGACGCGGAGGACTGGCTTTTGCACAGTTTCAAAATTACTCTCAAAGACGACTAAACAAAACACTTCCCATTAAAAATAATAACGGCAATTTTAAATTTTCTTTAGGAAAGCAGTCGTTGTAAAGGTGAATGGCTATAAAACATTTTCAGTTTTTATGAGAAGTTTACAGTTTTGGCTTCTCTTTCTACATCTTGATAACAAATCAATCTACTACAAGAGAATATCTACGACAATAATTTCATCATCAATATAGAAATACCTTGTATATAGATCATAGAGATTCTTGAGATACTGTTCTGCGTCAGATTTCCTGTGTTCTTCTAGCTGGTCCTTCACATAACTCTGTAAAATTTGGACACATCTGTTAGAAGACTAACTAGCAACCACAGGTCATGCTTACTACTTGCTAGATTGTACGTAATTTACTGCAAAGCATATATCTTACTCAAGGTAATTCATATATTCTTTGGTTTTAAATCTCTAATTTACAGATCCTGCATTATCTACAGATAGAGTAAAATGCATCTTTTAGAGAAAATTATTTAATAATACAAAGCAGTAGTGCATGAAGCAAAGACAAAAGAGATTGCTTTGAAAATATGCTTGACCAATAAACACAAAATCCCCTCTTTTTAAGAATCAAAAGCACAGAAGGCCTAGGGGCATTTCTGCAGTTGACAGTAAGCAAAGGAGATGCTTACATATTTGCTTATCATAACACATACAGAAAGCAGATACAAGCTTAGAGCCTTCTTGTCATTGAATATTTGGACAAAAATTATTATTTACCATAAAATACTAAATCAAAACTGACACACAAATTTGGGGTTGGAACACAAGCTCAATCTCTACGCTACAGGAATAACAACCTCTACAGAGAAATTGGTTTTTGCCACAACTAGTCACGTTGTTGACCTTACACACTTAGGTGAGTGTATTAGGATGGAAAACTTGACGTTTTCAACTATTTCAGACTTTCATATAAATACTGCATTAGATGCGAGATAGTATTCACAACATAAGCTGTTTTGGCTTATTCAATGCAATGTGTAACCTTACACATGAAACCCAATTTCAAGAAAGAACAGATTAAAGATACTTATTAAATATGAAACTTCTTCTCCTGACATATTCTTGGTAGGGAGCATACAGAAGAAATCAAATATGCATATGACATCTTGTGAATTAGCTAAGGAACACACTGACTGCCTTACAATTTTATATACTGAATTTGAGCACTTTCAGTTGCACTGTATTCAGAGTACAAGCAGCTTTTTTGGATATAGGCTTAATTATCTGTCTGAATTGTTACAAAGCAATCAGCTGTTGAGTCTACATCCTTATACAAGATCACAAATATTGTAAATTCTCATTCATTGGTATTACTAGATACAATACTTTTAGATGAAAAGTTTCCTTTCAATATGTTAAAATCTAAAATACCTGAAGTTTAACTTCAAAGATATTTTGAATGAGTTTGGCTAGCACAGTCTCCGGATTGCTAAAGACTTCTCCAACTTGTTTATTCACTCGCTGGCAGAGAATGGCTGCATCTTCAAAGACGTCATTCCTCAGGAACGCACCCTAGGGTTTCAGAAGCACATTTCGTAATATATTTACAACAGTCTACACAATGAAACAAATCAACACCCAAAGAGATACATGTAAACCAAAACGCATTACCTCTTGACACTGTTTTATGTACACATCAACGCAATGGGAATAGCCCTATGGAAGGAGCAAAACAACTCAATGTTAAAGCGGGTTCTCCATCTTCCCATTATTGAATGAAATCAAGGAAATACAACCCCTGTGAAAACGTTATTGCAAAAAAAAAAAAAGATTCATCAAAAGCATACACTGTTTTAAACCTATTTTTGTCACAAACCTACCACCACTCTACATGGATACACACAACAGGTTTCAACACTCTCTCTCAAGCACGGAAGGCAGTTCACACACGTAAAAGAAAACATTATCTTAGAATGGCCTCTACTGACACCACCTCCGATCCGCCATCATCTGCCTCTTTTATTCCCCTGCATTTGATTTCAGATGGAATTATCTCAGTATTTTTAATGAGATATTAAAATTCATATTTTAATTTATGCGTATTCTCTGGTATGGTGGCTGTGCCCATGCAAATAGGTTCGTTCAAAACACGCACTTACGGTATTGTGGGTTGTTTTATTTATGTATTTAAATTAAAACTCTCAGTTTTTACCTTAAAATGAAGCAAAACTGCTGCTACTTCTCTCATTCTGGAGATTTCACCTCTCCGCTGTGCGCTGGTAAACTCTTGAATTAGCTGGCACTCTAAATCATGGTACTTACCTGGAGAGGAAAGGGGATAACAACAAAAATCCATCAGGCTATGTAATACAAGCACCAGCAAAAACTGTAATACTGACAGTATTGCATACTTCCTTAATCATCTTTAACAACTCAAATACAGGAATATAGATTGAGCTGGATAGATAACTTACTTGCTATCTTTGATTTGACTTCAGAAAACCTGTTAACAACAAAAAAAATGATTAAATTCAAATCCACATCATGAGAAATCACAGACATCCTAGATCATGATTAACAGGCACTCTACTTAAAAATGAAAACATGTAACAAAGATGACAGAAAAGTTACACGCTTTATATTCATAAAAACCTAAAAGCATCTAATTCAAATCTAGCATTAAGTCAGCACAGCAAAATTATCCCATTAAAAGTCTGTTAAGCAGTTTAGGATGTGTATGTAAAGATGATCCTACGACACGAGTGCGTGAACATAAATTTGAGAATAGAGAAGAGAGAAATAAGCACACAATCCATCTCAAAAGCTACATGAATCACCAAGTAAAGCACCAAAAAAGCAGACAAGGGAAGTATCAGAAAATGATAGCTATGTGAAGAGGTTTTTTTAAAGACGTTCAAATAGAATTTTACCTGTCAAAAGGCAGTTCCTGTGCAATCAAATGCAGTTTCTGAATAATATCGGCTGCCTCTTTAATCTGTTAAGAGTAAAACATGTCAGAATTATTAAAGGTGGTCTGATTGTAGGCTATTCCTTTCCTCCCCCTCCACAGTCCAGTTTTCACACGTGTAGTTCCCACTTCTAAAGCTGGTTGAGTTGATACACCTGTGGAAGAGATCACTCCCTTAATGTTCCTATATGTACTTTTATGATGCTTATGGTATTTCTTTTTTAACATAAAATTACATAGGTCAAAACATGACAAAAAGTAGTTATGTGTTCACACTGGGTGTGTCTGTGTAGGTGTCTAAGCTACCTGGACAAATAGCTCATCACTGCACTATGCCAGCACAGCTATACAGTTTGCAGACCAAAGATTCCTCAGGGCTGATTAGATCACAATTTGCACCCTTTGATTTGGGAATAAAACACTTAACTGTAACACAGAGCTGGCTGAACTGCAACATTATACTTTACAATGCATTAGGATAAAAGTCTAACTGACTCACACTCAACCAGAAGAGATCTCTGCTGAATTCAGAAGTGAAATGGCTAGCAAACTGTTCAGACATGCCAGGAAAAGCACTGAGGAATTCTTTGCAATTGATGAAATTGGCTGTATAGCTGTAACCAAAAAAGCCATGACAATTCTCAGCATGGAGAGGGGAGGAAGGGGAAAAGGGGATCAAAGCAGAGCACAGTTGGAGCACCTCACATTCTCCCAAGGAGGGAGAACTGGAGTGTCAGAATAGAAAGGTACAGGCTCTTTAGGAAGGATAGGCAGAGCAGAAGAGGAGGAGGGGTTGCCTTCTATGTCAAAGACCAGCTGGAGTGCATGGAGCTGCACCTGGGGACAGATGAGGTCCCAACTGAGAGCTTATGGGTTAGGATTAAAGGGAGAGCAGGGACAGGGGACATAGTAGTAGGGGTCTGCTACAGACCACCTGACCAGGAGGACTGGGTGGATAAGGCCCTCTACAGACAGATAGGAGCTGCCTCACACATTCACAAGCCCTGGTCCTCATGGGGGACTTCAACCACCCCGATATCTGTTGGAAGGACAACACAGCAGGGCATAGGCATTCCAGGACGTTCCTGGAACGCATGGATGATAACTTCCTTCTCCAAGTGGCGGGGGTTGGAACTAGATGATCTTTGAGGTCCCTTCCAACCCTAACCATTCTATGATTTCATGATTCTAAATGGAAGCTGTATTAGAAATTATAAACTCTGAGGTCCAAAGCAAAGATCCAGATGCAAGTTAGTTAATCATGCATACACAAAATATGAACAGTCGCATGAATACAAAAGCTAACCAATAAAGCTAGTGCAGCATGCAAATTTCTGCTCTGTCCTGGACAGCAAAACCATTTCTCATTTATTCTTCCGTGATCCATCAGCACTTAGTGACTGTTTCACTAGGCCCATGAACTATATAAACACCAATCAGCACTTCTGAAAATGCGGCGAACACAGCTGGTTGCAACTGGAGTTCAGTGGATTTAAGCACAGTGTTGACTCGTCCAAACTGGACACAGCTCTGGGATAGTTTCAGAGGCTTTATTTTGCTGTCTTGGTGACTGGAAGGCACCTCGAAGCGGGCAATGAAAGCTCTAGCTACTACATTCAAGCAAAATCTTTGTAAGTTGACACAACGGAGAACACGCGGTTTATCTTGTTCTTCCTGTTAGTCTTGTTCCAGGGAACTGGAGCGAGAGGAAAGGAAGTCACGAAAACCTATTCTACAACCACTTAGAGCAGGTCGGGTTTTTTTAAACTTTTCAAGAATAGAACAAGACACACAGGTAAGAATATAGAGCACAGGCATCACACTACGTTGGTTGTCCAGCACAAATAGGGGCTCTCAAAGTATAACCATCCTGCTTATTAAGAGCGGCTTATGTTTTGAACTGCCAGCTTACAATAGCCTCTTCAGTCCAAAGCATCTATGCTCCTCAAATCCAATGAAACTGCAGTTACTGCTATTAGCTTACAGCAACATTAACACCTAACTTTTAATTGTGATCAATACTGGTGGCATTAGAATAGTCTACAGATTAGCAGTTATTCGCTGGTGTTACAACGAAAAAAAACAAACAACAAAACACCCCACAAAAGCAACATTTTCTTTGTCTCCTCTTCACACAATAGCTGTTAACTAACTTAGATTTTATTGAATTCAGGGCCTTTTCTTATGGACCACAGAAACCATGACAAATCAATTCTCCATGGTTTCTGCTTAAATCTGGACATATTTTATTTTTAATTGAATCAGACTTCTGTAAACTATTAAATCAAAATAAATATAGATTCCATAAAATACATTTAAAGGCTATAACAGATCTAGAAAAAAAAATCTAAAAAAATATTGTGGACAAACAACGGCAAGAGAGAATTTTAACACAAAATGTTTTTATGAACAAGTTAAAAGGCATAATGGAATAACGCTGATAATATAAATGGAGAAAAGGATGTAAGAATAAGAGTAAACATTAAACAGAAGATAATGCTATTGCATGATAAACAAGTAAGCTGCTGTACCGTATGGATAGTTAAATTGTTTTAACTGGAGTGATTTGCTCACTTCAAGACACTTTAGTACAGGAGAAGGACTGGTTAGCTGGCAGTGCAAGGGAAATTATATGGATTCAGAGGACGAAGACACACAACAGATAGCACGGGACAAGACAGCGAGAAAACACCTTCACAAAGATGTTAAGTTAGAAATTGCTCAGTGCAGCTAGGAGAAAGTAATGTGGGAAGCAACAACTTGAGTGTAGGAATCCAACAGATTTGAAGAACTGACACTGGGAAAAATATGAATTTCCGAGGAAATAACTGCATTATAATTCCTTTCTTGCCTCTCCTTTCACAGTATCCCCTGCCCTCGGTGTCTCAAAGAAAAACCCACACTTGTGAGGGATGGCATAGTACAAAAAAAATCGTAACATCCTCCAAAACACTACCTAAACCCCACATCAGTTCGAAATCAGAAGATTCTGACGCAGCATTAAGGTTTTACATTTAAGAACATTTGTTACCATCTCACACCTTAGAACTATTTTTAGTTCAAAGATGCGTTGTGATGTGATGGCACATGTCTAGGCAGGTTCCTTTACAAACACTACTTCTACTTCTATCTAGGACACAAAAACAGAACAGTACTAACCCACCTTGACTGAAACTAGTCTCAGTAAGATAACTTGTATCCAGAAAATCTTGTTTGTGTTCCCACACACCTCCTCTGCAGACTCGCACAAGACTTCTGGCCTTTACTACATTTGTCTTCCTCCAGATTTGGTGAATGTCTTATTATTCTTCAGGGTGTATGAAGATTAATTTGTTTATCAATGTCCTACTTATCTACCGTTTTTTTTCACATCTTGCAACAGAAAGTATTACAAAACTTTAAGTAATAAGTAAAGTGAGAGTTGAATTCTATATGACACTCTTCAGCAGAAAACACATAATTCTCTAACTTACACTTTGCAATTTATCATGTTGCCATTAAATATCTTTAAAATGCATGTTTTATTTCTACTTAGGAAATAAAAAAGAAAAACTTATGCAGATTTAGAAAAGGCTGTCCATAGAAAAACTTCCATTGTGTTGAAACCTTTCTGTTTTCCTTAGAAGTCAGAGAAGTTTTTCTGTGCTACCTCTCTGATTTGGGCAAACTATCAACTGGCAATTTTCATATATATCCACAGACCATGAATCGAAAGTCACTATGAAACTGGCTTCTTGTGAATATAACTATATGAAATGATTAGTTTTTCATTTCCTTGAAAGATATCTTCAGCTCAGTAGAGAGGGGATGACTATTAACCTATTCTCGGGTCCTTTATGAGCTGCATTTCAAGCACATATTTTTTGCTGAATGTGCAAACCAAGTTTTTGCTGTTCCCACATACTGTAATTTTTTCCTGACTACAAACACACCACTGCACAGAATTTAAGGAGAGTGGGAAGATTCTTCAGGACACACCTCAAAAAGAAAAAAAAAACAAACAACAAACCAACAATTTTACTTATCTTTCAAGCAGCTTAGGGAAATCTGATTTGTGTCCTTTTGCTTACAGCTGGACACTTACTTCAGTTAATTTTTATTAGCCACACCATTCAGATTATATTTGCCTCATTAACATACTCTTGAAGCATAAGAAAAACAAAATGCTTTAACATTTCTTTGAAGTTTTCCTGCCTGGTTCCTCTAAATTCAGAGGGTGGAGACCTAACCACAGGACTATACAAAGCCCAAAGGCATGCTGTGACAAAAAGGTATCCAAGGCCAGTGGACTGACCCAACAGAGTAAAGTTTCACAAAGAAGTTGCATTCAGAAACGTTCTGCATTACAGGGTGGATCTGAAGCAAGGGGTTCAAAGGAAAAAGGCAGATATTGTATGCGCTCTAAAGTTGCCCTCCCAGCATTTCTCAAATCTCTGATAATTTCATAAAATGAAAAATGCCAACATTGCCACATTCGGCATCACTGAATACAAACGCTTTATCAGCAATCTGCAGCCTAGTGTTGTTAATTTACATTTCAGAACAATGAAACTTTAACAAGTCAGTCACTCACTGGTTTGAAGTCTGACCATGGTAAGTCATGGTAGCAGCTTGTAATTAGGGCAGTACTGCTTATTGCTTTGAACTGCTTTCATCCCGCTGACAGCTCTTACCTTTTCAGAGTTTGTAAAAACATCAGACTTCAGCTCTCCATCCAGAAACTCATTAAAGTATTTCATCAGCTTCTGAGCCTCCACAGCCCGTTGCCGTGGCGTGTTTACCCCCTCCAGTTGGTCGCCAAGGTGACAGACCTTAGTTGCTACATAGCTGATGTGCTCATCTAGCTCCTGGAAATGTTGGAAGGCAACCTGGGAGAACATAGACACGGATGCAAAACTCATGATTTCCATTTACTGTAGTTTAGGAAGCACTAGATTTACTTCAGTAAGAAGCACAGTGAAAGCAGGGATCAGCTTTCCAGGTGCTGTATCTCAGAACTACTCAGAACCACTGATTAAGTACACACAACTGCTTTAAGTTTAGCGTCTTCCTTAACCCATTGTGAAGACTCCATACTTTCAGAATAGCCAACGCTCATTAATGGAACATGCAGATAAGTCCCCTTTGACAGGGGCAATTGTTTTCCATCAAAACCTATTTTTATCCCAAACAGTAGCACGCTGCACGAAGAAATGTTAATGTGACACTTAAAACTTGCACAGCTTAGCACTGACTATACTCTTTAAACTTACCTGGTTGCTTTTCTGCAGCTCTTGTACTTTCTTGGCAAATTCCTTTGCTTCCTTCTGGCATTGCTGTTCTAGTTTCTCCACCTTTCTCTGAATCCTTTCATCCATTACCTGTAACTCTTGGATATGATTTACAAATTCTTCCAATAATCTGATTTAAAATAAAATACAGCAAAGCAGACTTTAGTTTGAAAGACATTGTCTCCTGCAGAAAGCTTAAAAAAAACCTCAAAGAAAAGAACTTGCCTACAAGGCTGATATCATCATGTCTAACTTAAAAATGCTATTTTGTTTTAAACTACATTGCCCTAGTTGTGTAGAACTCTATGCCTACACGGAAACTATGTGATCACATAAAATAGACCACAGGAGAGGGGAATACCTAAATAACAATAACTCAAGAATGTGGCTCTGCCACAGAGACAAACACTCCTCCTATATCCCCAGTTTCCCTAAATAAGTCTCATCAGGGCAAAGAGAACTTAGGCCACCTACATCCCTGCAATGTAAGAGCTACAACAGGAAAATATTTTCTACTGTACATGTTACTGTAAACTTGTAAATCAGCATCTTATTAATAGGCAGTAAATACAATCATATAGTCTCATAATATTGTTTTGGTTACAGGTATGTTGCTTCCTGACTTCACTTCTTTTCTTCCTATAACATATGCCATTTTAAGGTGGAGGTTTTCTTTCTTCCCTGTCTTTTCCCATCACTTTCATTTTTCTTTTAGACACATTTTACTGTTCCCAAACACAGTACATCTGAATGCATTCTCGAGTTTCTTCTATTCTTTTTCATTCCATTCTCAATGTCTCTCTCTTTCTCATTCCTGTTTTTGTCCATTCTGTCCCATTCCAGCCATCTTTTCAGCTTATACTTTTCTAAACATCCTAGTCGCTGATGCTCAGGGAATGGATTATTCCCAGATCCTCCGTAGCCATAAAACTCATGCTAACAACTGAAAACACATGGAAGATTTGAGAACTCTGCTGTCCAGGTTTAACGTCTAATGACTACTCTGGAATCTGCATATTCACATACACTCTTTTCAGAAGGTATATCACGAATGTGAAGTCCTTCCAACCTGCAGTGCTGCTAAAAGGCAGAATGTTCCTCTCCTGGCTCTCCATGCACAGTCCAGAGGCTCTCAGCAACCAGGAGGGAAAAGCAGAATATATTACTCTACCCTCACACAACTCCTTCCCAGTAACAACTACAGTACCTCTCTTGGCCAACATCTAGAGCTTCCTCCAAGTAACATCTAAACAATACTAATGCCATTCTCTTTAGTTGCAGGGAGTGTCACCAGATTTCCAGTTTTAACTTTTGCTGCTGAAATAACTGGTTTCTACCCTGCTGCTTGGACCACATGAACTGCTTTTTGGCTCACTGTATTGGTCTAAAAACCTATTTCAAGTGGTATCTTTACAACAGTAAGTGACTTAAAGCCACAACTTAAAGAAAACTGGATTGGGGCAGATGTTTGACTTTTTTTCCTCTACTTCCTGCTTGCCAGACGCCCAAGAGTAAGCATGTTGTATCAGATTTCACAGAAAAACAGAAGGAATAGGCTCAAGTCTACAGAAGTATTTTTAAAATAAAAGGTAAACAATAATAAGGGACACAAAGCATACTTTCAAACAAAAGCCTAGAGAAGTGAAGATAGTTTCTACTCATTTTAACAAGCTGTTTCAGTTCAGTTTGGGGTTTGTTTTTTTTAAGCAGGTATTGCACCAACTCATCACTTATTCAGCAACAGTATTCAATATAATGAGAGAGGAAAGAATGCTCAAGCAGAAGAGGTAGCTGCTGGTCATGTTTCTCAGAAGAGAAATAAAGAACCCAACATTCTTTCTACCAAACAAAAGCATCACCTTCTAAAAACAGAAAAGAAAAAACATACCCTAAAATGCATGCTTCTTTTTAATATTTATTTTGGCTTCCTGCCCAACACTAGGAGATCCCACAAGAAAAATATTTACTGTTGTAGGATTCTCCCACTTTGTCCTGACAAATATGAAAGTGCGTCACAGAAGTTAACACAAGCAAACCAGTAGAAATGTAGAAGATAGGTTAAACTGAGTTCGTATTGGTATAAATCATTAACTACTCTAAAATGTATACTAGGCACCACTGTGGAGAAAGAGCTACAAGAAGCAATGCTGCATATTTCCAGGCTTTTTCCTGCTTAAAACGCATGTAAAGCTCTGCATAGGATACAGGCCTCAGATTGAATGTCAAGGGCTCGGCATCTTGCTAGAACTCCAACAATATCCTTCCTCTTCTCACACGTCTCCAAAGAGTCACACTGCTCCAGAAGGAATGTCCTTTGACCATGATAATGAAGATTTTCGTATCTGCTTTTGACTAACAACAGCTTGCCTATGAAATCAGTAATTCCTAAAGTTCTTCAGTGTTCTAGCTCAGGTTACTACAAACCATCTCAATCTGGAATAAGATGATGTAAACAGGAAGACACTAAGGAACAGCTATTGCACTTGCTCATCTCCCAAGTCATAATCATGCGAAAAATGAAAACACTTAAGTTAATTATGTCTCTAGAAAGACTACCAATACTGGTACAAAAGCTTAAAAGTAGCACTATTTGAAAGAGT